CGAGGGCTCATGCCTGTCATCCCAGCACTCTGAAAGGCCGAGGCGGGCAGATCACCTGAGGTCAGGAGTGCGAGACCAGCTTGGCCAACATGGTGAAACCCCGTCTCTACTAAAAATACAAAACTTAGCTGGGCATGGTTGTGTGGGCCTGTAATCCCAGCTACTCAGGAGGCTGAGGCAGGAGAATCGCTTGAACCCAGGAAGCGGAGGTTGCAGTGAGCCGAGATAGAGCCATTGCACTCCGTGTCAAAACAAACAACAATAAAATTTCTTAAACTGATTAAAGATCTGGTCACCTCTTTAACTGCATAAGGGAGAGGTGAGGGTATCTGTCCTTCCCATCTTTACCCTGGAGCCACCACATACAGGGGCAGGGACCTCCCGCTCTAGACCACCATCTGTCTCCCCTTAAACAAACCCCTCCCACGTGGCCAGCAGGCCTCTGCCCGCCTCCAGGCAGTCCTGTCCAGCCACAGATGCTTCTGGGTGGGCCCGGGGGGCGGTGAGTGGCTTCTCCTGCTTACAGAGCAATTGAGAGTCTCCCTGCTCCTGGAGGGAACAAACCCCTTGGTGAGCCTGGCAGCTTTGTTGACAGTAACAGCCCACACAGCCCTAGCAGATGGCCATACACAGTCACACCCAGGCTGCTCCTCTCCCTCTGCTCCCACCTGGGCACCATGGGCCAGGAGACAAACAGATTAAGCACCCAGGAAGTGCCAAGGCCTGGGATGCCCCTCTGCTCCCCGCCTGGAGCTTGGGCCTCACCCTGGGCCAGCCTGCTCTGCTCCTCACCTGCACCTGTTTATTCAACAGATGCCTCCTCGGGGGTGGCCAGAGTGGCCCGGCCCGGCCAAGGAAGGTGAACCGAGGGGACGGGCAACAGCTGCAGTGGCCAGCGTGTGCCAAGAACAGGAGCAGGGCTGCTCACGAGGAGAGCCAGGCAGGGAGGCAGGGCGCTGCCCGCCCGCTCACAGGAGACACGCCAGATGTTTATGGAGGAATCAGGGAGAAGAGAGGGTGCTGTGACCCCGCTCGGGCTCCCCCGAGTCAAAGAGGAGCCTCCCCACACTGCGGGGAGACAAAGGAAAGGGGGGTTGCAGGGACCAAGGAGTACCTGGCTTGAGGTCCCCTCCAAGTTCCTGAGCTGCCCTTGCCTGACTGGCTGCTTCCAGAGCCCCGCTCCAGGCTTCGCCCCCGCCCAGGACCTCGAGTCCCTCCCGTCCCTCCCGTCCCTGGAATCTTAGTCCATCCGGCAGGAAGCCCCATCTCCATCCTCAGCCGGCAGGGCACATGTAGGTGAGAGGTCGGCTCAGGCACACAGCAAACCACATGCAGGAGGGCACGGGCAGGCGGAGGCTGTGCTGGGTGGACCGGGCCTGGCCCCCGAGCGGCGGGCGGGCCCAGCAGCAGCTGCCATGTGCGGAGTGCCAGTGTGTGCCGGCTGCACACTCAAAGGGCGAGCCCACGCGCACCCCATAGTCCCCACGAGGACACAGTCAGG